AATAGTTCCAACTTCGCAATATCTCATCCTCATCCCCAAAATGTTGTAACCTAGAAAAGGTTACTGAATGAGGAATGACCAAAACAGAAGTTGGAAATGAAATGGTAATCTTTATAACATCAACAAAATACAATTCTCGCCAGCGGCTTGAAGTAGGTAAACCACTGCCAGTGGTGCACTACTTAGACAGCATATCCCCCCCCACTTACAATAGTGTCCAGCATATTTATGAGGAGTGGGACATACCCATTAGTGTTCATAGATACGGTATATAACAGTAATGTAAATCGTTATTCTTTTTTTCTTCTATGAGCCGTGTCGCTTCAGGACGTTGGCGATTTTGGTTTTCTATCATTTCTTGTTCTCTTAAATGTTGTCTTTTTTGCTATCTCTCTTAAACTTTGTTCTGCTATTCATTTACACAAGCTTGCGAGATAGGGTATGTGTTGGTTTCCTCTGTCCCTTTTGCCATCAGTATGTCGCGTAAATATCAAATTTTCCAAGCCCTCTTTCCACATTATGTGACCTAGAAATGCTGTCTCTTCCTGTTATGTATAAATGTCTTTTTTGTTTCCATTCTCTCTAAAACTTTGTTGTTGTTTACATGTTCAGTCTATGTTATTCTCAGTATCCTTATGTAGAACCAAATTTCTATTGCTTCAAGTCTCTTCTTCATCTGTGAGAAGATTGTTCAGTATACACTATATAAGAGGACTGATATTATGTAACCGTTCAGTACTGTCTTCTTTGTTTCTAATGACATTTTTTCCGTTTCTTAATACTTTTCTTAGATAGGTGGGATGTATTATAATAATATTTTAATAATATATAGTATTTTTTTCTATTAGAAAATTTGAAGAAAATATCCTCATCACTTCAAAAATATTTCATGTAAGACAACTTATGTAATAATGTTAAATACCACAACAAATTTTACCTGATAATGCTATAAAACTATTTCTAGTTTACAATAGGATATTTATAATCATATATTTCATTTATCTATCCCTTATTTTCAATTTATTTATGTTCAAGAATTTTTCCAAATTCTAAATTTACAGGAAGTAAATTAAGAGAACTGCAATAATTACTACGTAAAGAAATGGCTGCTTTAAAGATGGCTACTAATTGGAATGGAAAAATCAGTATTAAATGAACAAAGAGGAAGTGCTACTCTCTGTTGAAATTTATAAAAATCTTTCTCTTAAAACATGTTTTCAGGAAAATGAGTTTCTCACGCTCACTAATTGCTATGGCCTTTTCCATTATTGATGGTGACTTCCTTCCTAATGTTTTGTTTGAAGTAGTGGCGAACGTCAACATCTTCATTATATCATTATTTTCATTTTGAGTTACATGCGATATCCATTTTAATTGTTGCTGTTCTTGCAAATATTGATGTAGTTTCTGTTATTTGATACATATTTTTTTACGATTCTTCATCACCAGTCCAAGAGATCTAATAAAGAATGGTACTCTCTAAGACCCTCATTCACTCAAATACATTTTAATTATTGATCTAATAAAACGGTTGTATACAACTGATAGTTTAGATATTTCTGAACCCGGTGGATCCTATGGATGACATCATATGTTTGTCTATTAAGAACATGACTAGAGTTCTTAAGTTAAAGATGACTGTAGAAGTCAAGTGACTTACCTGCCAACATGGCTGCCTTCTTCTATTTCCTTGTAAAGCAAGCCAGCTGATTTTACCTCAGTTTATAGGAGAGTGCTTAATACACCAGTTAGGTTGGTCCATTTTGCTAGAATGGACCTGCCCAATACATTTGCATGAGTGGTCTTTATTCACCCATATATTTCTCCATGAAATCAGTCAAGTCAGGTGGCTTTTGGCTACACTAGCCTACTTGTGGGTCAGACCACTGGCAAGCTAACCAATATTCTACAATGACTACTAATGTTGATTATTACTACGACCATTATTTTACCCTACTCCTGTGAGCATACTATTAGTGAAAACGTTTTTTTAAAGCCTTTCACCCGAAGCAGGACGGGAGTGCCACTAGCACGCAATGGGTTACAGAGAGTGAGAGCAAGAGTAAAGAGGTGTGATAGAGAAAAAGATGAAGGGAAGGCTGGGGAATAGATCAAGGCAGATGGAGATGTCGATTGACATTACATTTGAATAGTTGTAGATTATAGCTATCAGGGAAGCAAGTGAGAGGAAGGGAGTTCCACAGACGAGAAGTGCGAGACATGAAGCTATTTTGGAGTAGAAGAGACTGCTATATTTAACCGTTTCGAAAGTGAAAGGATGGAACTGAGATGCCAACCTTGTAGCATGTTTAAATTCATGCAGTTTGGGAACCAGCGAAAGTAGCTCGTCGGATCTGTTACCGTGAAATTATTTGTAGAAAAGACAGAGGGAGGCGACTGCACGTCTGTGAGAGAGCGACTGTAAACAAGATGCCAGATCATGGCCAATCACATTGCATATCCTTCTCCGGATTTTGTCGACGAACTTAAGACGAACAGCAGAGGCACCAGACCATAGATGGCAGCAGTATTCCATGCAAGGGCGAATTTAAAGATTTGAAGGATGACCTCAGACGAGACAAACTTTCTGGCGCGACACAGGAAACCAACTTTCCTTGCGGTAGATGAAGCTATTTATTCAATGTATTTGTTACATCTCAGTGGAGTTGAGCATCAGACATTCTAATGGGAGGCACTGTTACTAAATATGGCTATTAATGCTAAAGAGGACTGTTAACTGGTAATAGCAATCGTAAAAATAGTCATTTCCATACAGGAAATATTCAGTTGACATTTATAAAATCATGTCATTAAAACAGATTTTTTTTTTTCACAAAATTAGACTTCACTTCATGAGATAACGATATATACATTTATATATCAAGAACAATATTGACTAAGTGGAAAAAGTTTTCTTGCGATGCATTTCGTCCTTTAGGGCTTCATTGGACTAAATTTGTTATGGTGGTGCGATTGCACATGCGCACGAAGGAAGGGTGTTGGGAATTTAAATTTAAAATTCCCAGCATCCCTCGTTCGTGCGCATGCGTAGTCGCACCAACATAACAAATTTAGTCCGATGAAGGCCTAAAGGATGAAACGTGTCTCACCATAATGTTCAGTGGACATTTATAAAATCATGTCATTAAAACAGTTTCAATATTGGTGGGAGTCGTATTCCAAATCTTTTGCTTTTGGTAGTGTCGAAAGGTAAGAGGTTCATTATATCATCATCTTCTCTTTTAGTTACATGTGCTAACCATTTTATTTCGCTAACTTTGTGATTATTCAAGTGACGAGGATTTTGTTGTTTGGTAAAGCTCTGTCGGGATATTATTATTATAAATAAATAAATGAAAATAAAATATAAAATAATAATAATAATAATGAAAATTATAAATAAAATAAAATAAAACAATATCATAAAAACTTTGTATAAAATAAATTAAATAAAAATTTAAAATAATAAAAAAACTACCGAAAATACGGATATCCCACCAAAAGAGAATAAATTTAATTTATTCTCTTCACCTCGAACCTTGGTACGGGCAACACGTGTCCAATTTCTCTCTGTGATATGGCTTGTAATACTACGGAGTAAATGTCACCCTTTTATTACATAAAACAATTGTAAGCTAAAAAAAATACACACACCAATATACACAAGAAAAAATTTAATTTTATGAAAATAACATACAATTTAAAGTGCATTTTCTGTTAATTCTGCACTTTTTATTTTCTGCTTTTATCTCCGTGAACACAAAGCTAATTTCTGCTGTTATGATGTGAGTGAACCCCCACGGCTCTTAGTTTGTGATTTCTTAGCACCAATCTAAAGGGTCTGATGAAGAATCGTCTTCTTTTAGAATTTCTATTAAAATAAACTGATAACTGGAATTATTCTTCATGTACCTACACTATTTCAATATATGATTTATTCTGGAAGTGAGAATCGCGTCGTTGCCAAATGTGATATATGGAAAAAGCAATACGTATATTCATTACACTGTTCTCGTTGCTTTTATCAATTTTGAAAGATCTTTTTGATGCTTCTGTAGTGACTACAGCACACATCATCATCATCATTTATGGACTACGTATTCTACAGTTCAAAAGTTTGAAGCCACTATCAGAATTAGCATGAGATGAATTTGACAGAAGAGTAAAAAAAACAAAATGATAAAGAGCTCTTAGAGTCATTAAAAAAATGGATTCAGTTATCAAACTTATACTTTGAGAAACATTGGGCACCTAGATATTGTGTAATGGTTAGCAAGCTTGTCTCGCTAGAACAATTGCGACTGAGTAGTGAGTTCAATCCTCACTGAATGCCCCATACTTTCGGCCTTGTGCCACATCTGAGCTACGCTTTGAAAATCGCTATACTTTGAGAAACTTTTGCAACGAATGCCAAAAATGTCTGCTGCAGTAATCAAAGGTAAAGGAGTATATTTTAAATAGAGAAAAATTTAATCATATAATGCTTTTCGTCAAAATAAAAATACTAATAAAAAAGTCATGTCGAAATTTTTTTTGACTGCGTCTAATAATGTTCTCTTATTTAAAGTACGAAACAATTACTTTTTGAGCCAATCTGAAAAATAACCAATACCTCAAACTTTTGAACTGTAGTGTACTTTCAGGGTGTCGGTGATCATGGCTTCCACAACTTCTTGTCTCTTGGATGTTGAAGTAATACTTGACTCTTTACTATCCTTTTTTTTAATTCCTGCTCTACCATACCTTCCACACAATTTTATTATGTAAATTGCTTGCTGTTCCTCTCAACATTCTTTCCGCCAACAGATCCTTGGGGAGGGGGTATTCAATTTTCCAATTATTTTCCTTATTATGTGCCCCATAAATTCCAACTGTCTCTTTCTGATTTTAAATATGATTGTCTTTCTAGTTCCAAATTGCTTTAGCTCTTCCTCCTTGCCCACGTGTTGCGTCTATGGTATTCTCAGCATGCGTATATAGAACCACATCTCCGTAGGCATGCTGCCATATCATTGAAACAACGGTTCCCGTACGATCACCGAAGCTAAATAACGTCGAGCTTGGTTAGTATATAGGCGGGTGACCATTTGGAAATACCAGGTGTCGTAAGCTTGGATGTGCGCGTGGTGTAACGAATGGCTCGGAATTGTTAATCGGAGGTACGAGTTCCAATTCCCGTTGGGTTCGTTACCTCCACTTACGCGCTAATACCCTTGGGAAAGATATGGACCCGCCTTTTCTCCTCCCAGCTATACGTTAATTAGACGAATCACTAAGCCATTATTATCTCAAAAACGTTCTTACAATATAAAAATATTTTCTGGTATCTGTCTATATTTCTGAGATGAGGTATTACGTACACTATTTACATTATTCAGACTATTTTACTCATCTTTGTCGCCATATTTATTAAAACGTTTCGGCCGTTGTATACTCAGGTCTTCTTCAGGTAGTTGGAATGTCGAACTGAACACTTTATTTTGCTCGCTGGGGTAGACTGTTCTAGTTCCACGTGCCATGTTTAATGGATGTCAGTTATCAGTTACACAGTGGATAAATGCGTTCGTTAGATCCAGTGACTGGACCCAAAGAGTGTGAGTTCAATACCTAGTTAAGGCAGTGGATAACTTGGAGAGGGGAATTAACAGGAGATAACTGATAACTGACATCCATTAAACATGGCACGTGGAACTAGAACAGTCTACCCCAGTGAGCAAAATAAAGAGTTCAGTTCGACATTCCAACTACCTGAAGAAGGCCGGAGTGTACCACGGTCGAAACGTTGTAATAAATATGGCAACAAAGATGTGGACAATAGCCCAAATAATATAAATAGTGTAAATATTTTTTGGCTTTAAAAAACCTGCGAAGTGTTGATAAACCGTAAAAAATGAAATAATCACATCTGTGTTGCTTCGTGTCTATTTTTATATATGAGGATAGATATGACATTGTTCAGCCTTCTTCTTTGTTTCAAAAAATATTGCTAAGTTTTTTATACTTCACTTAGTTTCTGGAGAGCCGCTCTCGCTACTAATGGTGAGTATTACTACGATCATTATTTTACCATTCTCCTGTGGGTATACTGTTGCTGATGACTGTTACTAAAGATGCCTATTAATGCTAAAGAGGACTGTTAATTGGTAATAGCAGTCGTAAAAATAGTCGTTTCCATACAGGAAATATTCAGTTGTGACTTCTCGCATAATTATTAGTTAGGTAAATAATCAAACGTCTACTTTACCAAATTCTTTAAAATTTGAAACTGCAAGTAGTTTTAAATGTAAGATTTAATGACTAAATACTAAATTTCACCGCGACACTCAAACCTAAAGAAAGCATGCCAACTTACAGTCGACAAAACAATATAGTTAAGATTTTAGAACACTAACTGTACCAAATAACAGAAACCACGCTACTTCAGGACATCCAACAGCGGTAACAACAAAAACGAATAGTACATGTCACTCAAAGAGAAAATAATGACATAATCAAGATGTTGGCATTCGACACTACTTCAAATAAAAAATTAGGAAGAAAACCCCCAGCAATACTGGTAGAGCTATAACTACTACTGGACTTGGGAAACCTATTTTGCTGAAAAAATGTTTTAATAGAAAGATTTTGTAAATTTCATTCGCAAAATGTACTGGCTGCTTGGTCAATGAATGCCAAATGTTTCCTTGTAGGGAAACAGATGATATTACCATTATCATTACAAATGAAATCTTGAAAGAAAAAGAAAAACAATTTTAGTCACAAGATTTTAATAGAATTTAAAGAATGTAGAATAGACAATCAGAACATATGCTAAAAACCAGTAAGAGAGGGATAGAGAAAGATTTAGAAGAATTAGACATTTCGGAGATGTTGTCACTGGCCTTCACAAGCAAGCATTTTCCCTTCACGTTTGTTTGTGGGTTTGTTTAACGGCATATCAACACCTTGTGGATCATTTAATGCTGAAATTAATTTTTCTTGGGATCATTAGTAATTTCTTTTACAAAAATGTATTGCTGGTAATTTTTTACTACGAAAATGCGTGGCTGTTATTTTTTTCCTACAAAAGGTATTTTTATACTTTCATAGTGTTTTGACCCAGGTTTTCAGGTGAGGGTCACTATTTTCCCATAGTTGGAACCCTAACAGGTGCTACCACCCCAGTGGGAACAACAGCAATTAAGAAGTGGTTCCATGTTCCTAAAAAAAACCTCCGGATCAGAGACCTTGCTGCCGGGTGTAGTTTATCATTATACCCAGGACGCTCCCTTCACGTTCTGTGAATCTTTATCTTTCACATTTTCTTCGAACAAAATAGTTATCTTATATACGCTAAAATACATGACATATGTTTTACCATTCGTACCAACATCCTCATCTTGGTTGTTATACTCGAAACGTTTCGCGTGTGGCACCGTCCGGTTTTCTTCATATGTCTGTCGTTGTACTCGGTAACCTTATCGTAATTTTGAATCGAATTCTTTATTCAGTTGATGGGAGTAAGTCGTTCTTATTTCGCTTTGCATGCTTAGTTGGTATTACATATCGCTTAGTACTGATTAGTCTTATTCAGATATGTTTCACTTGTTCGTGTCTTTCAACTAGCCAAAGTGTGTTACTTTTTAACATTCGCAGACCTAGTAACATAAGCAAACCAAATCATGGCTTCTAACAGTTTCAAGTAGCGTGAGAAGTCCAAAATACTATGTAATCCACGAGAAGGTCGAACCATAGTGAATTAATATCATGACGATAAATGAATATTTCAAGGAATTATTGAATAGAAATGAAATCCCATCCAGTTAACCGGTTATCCAATATTTATTAAATCTGATGTTACATGTGTCAGCATCATTCATATTTTGAAGCTGCAAATTCTTCCTTTTCTATGTTTTGCTATTCGGACCGATATGTTCATCTTAATTGTCAAACTCACAATTAAAATAATTAAAAAAAACCAGTCTAATCAAAATTATATTTAATAGTTATTTACTAAAGTTAACATGATTTAATATCAGGTCATTCCTGGAGCACACAGTGGATGTGAAATTGAAAATTGAAATTGAAATAAATCTTAGTCGCCACTTTACCAATCCCATTATGATGACTAAGATAATTATTTTATGATGTAACTTTCCATTCGGACGAATATACACATATTTAATTTTATATTATCGTAACGCCCCCCGCTACTTCCGTTCATATTCATGGCGAACAAGTTATAACTTCGGGACCTTTGCCTTTTTTTCGTTGCATCACCCCACTTCCTTCTATGTCACCTAACAAGCTTATTTAGATTTATAATCAACCACATTTCTCTTAGTTGTTTGATTATAACACAATCTAAATAATCCTCTTGAACATTTTATAACACTTTTTTTTATACCTCATAGAAACTCTGGATTTATTTCTTTTAGTTATTAAGTACGTAGCAAGCCCAGGTGGTGTTCAGTGACGATTCTACGCGAAGGTAGAACCCCTACCCGAATTTTGGCCAGCCCCGCGGTTGGTCCCCTACTTTTCTAAGCTTAAAATTGATTTCGATAAGATTTGATCTTCAGTACTTTTTCCTCTGTGTTTTCTTTTTCCTTTAGCTTTTTTTTTTTTAATTCCATTCACATCTGCGAAGATCAGGCAAAATAAGGACACATACAGAGACCAGTTTAGCGGCGACGATATCTCCGACTACGTTTAATACAAAAGCATTTCTAGTTTAGAGATATCAAAATAAAACTCCAATAACCAAACCCATCCGCTACAAATTATCCGGTTACCGACTATAATCCCGAGTCCGATCATTCAATCAAGCTTAAAGTTTTTGAGTTAGTAGCAGGGTAAAATTGACTCTGCTGTTTAAGAAGTAAATTTATTTGAATTTTGATGTAAAATAATTTATGTTAACTTGTGTCAATCCAGCTGCCCTATTTGATGTTTTATTTCAGGGTCATGGAGAAATTATATTATTTAAATTATTTTCTTATTTCACAGTAGATTCTTGATCGTATGGCCGGAGTTTGCGGAAAACATAGATTAATTTTTTAGCTGATTTTTGTACGCTTCTAGTGCCCACAAAATTTTGAGGAAAAAAGTCAGAGCAGACAAATTACACTGTTCTGCTAGTCTTGACATTAGTATTAACCCTTTGATTTTGTTTTGAAGTTAACCTCTCTCTTGTGGTCCAACAGTTTGTGAGTGGAAAAGAAGGCAAGAATAGATTAGAACTCCAATACTATGAATGAAAATTTATTCCGTTTAATTTAGTGAAGTAACATACTTATACTAAAACTCATTCCTAAGTTGTGTATAAAATAGTGGTGTAGTATGAAAATATAAACGCTGCTTGAATTTGCCCCCCTCCTCCGCAGAAGAATCTCGGTCCCCAAGTGCCCCACCTACTTTCAGAGTTCCAGAATCGCCACTGGTGGTGTTATTAGACAACCTTGTCATATAACCGGGCGAAGTCGACGACACAGAAGTCTGTGCCCAACGTTTGTGTTATGGGGGAGGCTAGGAATGCCGCACTTGGAAATTCACAAACTCGCCTCGAGGTTAGCATTCCTACACCGCGCGGTGATGGGGGACTCAATTTTGGCGGGGAGTGTAAGGACTGCCTTCTTTTCCCTTACTATCACTCCTCTTGGTTGGGTGGGGGACAGCGCCTTCGTAAGACCTGGGATCAATGGAGTTTCCTCCTCGCGTGTTGATCGACCTTGAGGGTCATTCCTCGGTTTAGTAACCTTTCTCGGCCTAGGAGGGTCATCTATCTTGAACTAGCTGAGGAGATCGCGAAGGATCCACTACGTGCTCGACTCAGCTTGTCGGCGAATTTATTTCGCTCCTTTTGGACTTAGGCGCCTGCGGCGGATTACCTCAGCAATCCTGCGTTTTCGCTGACCTGGCGACTGGACCGGAATAGGCTATCTGTCAGTGACAAGGTCTTCATATGGGGCTTGACGGATTTGTCAGACTGCAATCGATGTGAACTTGGTTTAGAGGAAACGGCGGCGCACGCCTTCTACAATTGTCCTCAAATGAGCCCTCTATGGGACTTTGTCGGCGTGGTTGACGGCTAGTATCGCTCACGAAAAGCTCGTGCTCATTGATCGCGCA